GTCTATTGAGAATTTGGTATTGTGCCAGATAATTTGGTTGTTGCTTTTGAATTAAAAGGAACGACTAGGCTAACTTTAATGATTCAGGACGCTTTATTCAAATGATCATACTGAATGGTTGACTGACAATTTTTGACAAGCCGCATGCATGATGACCTTAAGATCTGGTTTTTTTTTACTTCTGTTGTTAGGTTGCTATCTTGTTGCTTCATATGGTTATCTTGTCTTTTACTCAATTCTTATAGACCTATATCCTATTTGCAAGAGACTATGAACTAAGCGGTACAAGAAATGAGATGTTTGAATAGTGACGTTTATATACTATTCATTTAATTTACGCTACTAGAAACACACATATGTTGTGGTAAAATGTCAACACAATATATGCCTTAAGATATATTTTAATATCACTAATGATAAGATCACCATGTACAAATGTGTACCTTATTTTCACTTATATATTAGAAATGGGACAATGCATATCGAGTGGTAATGCGAAATCAATTTGTCTCCCTTAAACAAAATGGAGGTTTATCTATAAATTTTTATCTTGAATAAATTTTTGTGAACACTTGAAAAGTAGGATTTATAACACCCTTTTCATTAACAGAGGAGCTCTCTTAACTAAAAACTACATAAACAAAGTTATGATGAAAGTTCTTCGATGACTACATGAGCCTTAGCTGATCGTTACAGTGTCTCGGTTTCTAATACCAATGGCGAACATGGGTGTTGTTCTATATATGTTTCAGAAGATGGCTAACTTGGCCAACATAAATACTAGTCGGGCTTTTTCCGAAGATGGTGAACTTGGCGATTAGGTGTCCTTCTCATATTGTTTCTGAAGATGGCGAACAGAGGTATTTTCAGAATTTTTCCAAAGATCCCGAACTTGGCGAACATTTCAAACAAATTGTTTCCGAAGATTCATGAACATCATCAGCTTAAACCTGTCATAGGACCCAATTTTCAGCTATGTCAATCTGATATTATCTGTCATAGAACCCAAATGTCAGCTATGTCAATCTTATATTACCACCAGTTTAATCATGATTGATGCTAAATATCAGATTTGCAATATTAAGGAATCGCTATGATACTCAGAGACGTTCAACATGCAGATATATTTTTATTTTCGGGGAACAAGGCTTGACATTTTTTTAATTTATACAATGATTAACATGCAGCAACACTATCGGTGTTGATTTTTATCCAAATCATGCGACTGTATATATGGTTAGATTTCTCATTAAACCAGGTTTAATCCACCCTTTTCTACATAAGAAAATGCCTGTACCAAGTCAGGAATATGACAGTTGTTTTCCATTCGTTTGATGTGTTTGAGCTTTTGATTTTGCCAATTGTTAAGGGACTTTCCGTTTTGAATTTTCCTTGGAGTTCGGTATTTTTGTTGTTTTACTTTTTAGTAGGTAAAACCACAAAATGACAGGTCCAATTCATTTTATGTAATTCTCATATATCTCATTTAAATGTCTTCCTTTGCGGTTTAAACTGCCTTTATTTAAGTAACTGACTGCAGATTTTATCATGTCTTGTTTATATAACATTGTGATAGATGTCAGTGGTATATGGGAAAATACGGGAAATAATGAAACCAAAGAAGATAATTATATGCTTACTTTTGTCTTATTGGACAATATCATTGTATTCTAACGTTCTTAGGAAGAACTGACATATTACTTATTGTGTATAATTTATTTCTTACCTTTTTGTATCTAGACATGCTAGATAAAATCATACCCATATTATAGAATGACATGCTATGTAGTAATTCAAATCATTAAGTTCGTGAAAATAAAAAAAAAACGTTATAGTATAAAATGCATACATGTATTTATAAAAGTTATTGTGTTGAACTTCATTCTTTTTCTTATTCAATGGAATACCAAATCTACGAGTCCAACCTATGAGTAACCAAATTGTATATCTGGTTTTTGTAGCAGGTCAACATACTGTTACGAAACTCCCAGTCAGTGACTATGTGTATCTGTGCACCAACCTTCTCGCGAGTTCCGGTCAACTTCATTTTGTGTCAGATCATTTTTGCTCCAGTAAGAACAAGGAATAATTTTAGATTGGGCGATTAAGTGATTGATTAATTGACGTAGTCTTTCAAATGTCTAGGAATGATAAATTATGTATCCCATGCATATACAGGGTGAAAATTACCATCAAATCTACGAAAGTTAGGTTCCTCAAAAATGGTCGACTGGGACAGGCACGACGAGAGAGAGAGAGACAAAGGGTTTGCAATTTTATGCATTCTTATCATGAGCCCTTCCTTATATAATTGCTGTGCAACTATTTATACATGTGTATACATCTATGGTACAGACTTTCTGCGGTCTTTAGCGACTTTCACAGCCCTCCTCCTATTTCAATTAGCTTCAATTATGTAAGTGTATTACTGTTTTCTTGTATTAACGGTCTACATTTACATCTAAGTATGCATCGCTGAGCATAATCTTCAATTAATTGTGTATTAAAATGACTTTTTGACCTTTTATACATGTAACACTAAATGGCAGTACACAAATGTAGTTTAAAAATATATAAGATATTATCGTTGATATATGCGCCACCGTGTCAATTTACAGGCGACAGACCTATGGGGCTATGTTGTATGTTTTATTGACCGGTTGACCACAAGTTCTACATCATGTTATAATGATTTACTATATAATACACATTTCAGCGGATTAGTTTTTATAAGGCCTTCTTTAAATTTTGTCAATCAGTCGGGGAAAAGGAACCTTACCTTGGACATTTAACATGGCTAAACATGTATAAAGCATACAGACATAAAGCTTACAACATATTTTGGAAAAAAACCCTTACATGTATATATGTTCTTATACGGACGGTTTTACTGGACATTTCCGAGATGAGTTAAAGTAGACAGGACGATTTTGTTTCTTTAGATATGCATGATAAAGAATTGTATTTAGAAAAATAGCTTTATCCTTGATTATAATATTCAATTTGATTTTGTTTTTAAATCACAAATAGAGATTCTTTATTTCTTATAAAACCAAGTTAATGGTACAAAGAAAGATATTTTTACATATAAAACATTCAGATTCTGTGCATGACAAGTTTGTACAAAACGAACATAAAAAGATGAGAGATTGATGATCAACTTGGAGAACATACTTCTGTATTGATAATTCTGATCAATTTACACCATTTTTTCAATACCCGAATACTTTTTGAAAAAAATAAACTGCCGAATTTCAAAACATTTACTCGGCTTACGTAGTAAGGTTTAAGAAAAGCTCTTCTACTTAAGAACTGTAAAATGATCGGATCATCCAACACCCTTGGCTTGTTTTCCGATTTCACTTCAGTAAGTCAAAATTTAACTTCCTATTTCTCTTAAAGTGCCTTGATAACTGTATATGACTTCCTTCATATCTGCATATATGCAATCAATTTCATAAATATGTCAGTCCCGTGCTGGGATTCATTTCACAAAATATCGTACGAGAAATAATACTCGAAAGGCATTAACATTTTAGTATAACTTACGATTAATTTTTGTCGTACGATTTTGACTTTAAAACAAACAGCACTTATGTCAAAATGAGGTGTTTCGCATTCGGGAAAAAAAGATGAACGAAGATCGATCTGAATATGCATGAAATATTTGCCACTAGACGTGAAGAAAGCAACAGTCAATCAATCAAATTATAGAAGAGGGGTGCACACTCTGATTATTCTATAGAAGTCTCACCCTGTCTATGTTCTTAACTATAGCTCTAAATAGAATACACCAAAGGGCATCATATACAAAACAATTTAACTTAAAAAGACGAAGTTTACAATCCTCGACTATATAAGTAATTCATTGCCAGTATATATATATAGTTATGAAATCGATGACAGATACTAACCTTATTAAAGTTTTACAAGATGTTCGTTAATAGACCTACACGAAGTTATTTATAAATACACGATGAAATGGATTTACCATGAAATATTTGCCACTAGACGTGAAGAAAGCAACAGTCAATCAATCAAATTATAGAAGAGGGGTGCACACTCTGATTATTCTATAGAAGTCTCACCCTGTCTATGTTCTTAACTATAGCTCTAAATAGAATACACCAAAGGGCATCATATACAAAACAATTTAACTTAAAAAGACGAAGTTTACAATCCTCGACTATATAAGTAATTCATTGCCAGTATATATATATAGTTATGAAATCGATGACAGATACTAACCTTATTAAAGTTTTACAAGATGTTCGTTAATAGACCTACACGAAGTTATTTATAAATACACGATGAAATGGATTTACCATATTTACAATTTGTATGAACTGCTACATATGGATGTATTTATATGTAAAAATCGACACATATTTTGAGTGTCTCTAACATCGCCTTGACGAAGTGATTTTTATGTTTTTGCTGAATTGGTCATTAAACCACGGTATCCATTTAATACAAATGCGCTGTTACATGTGCAGTAATCTTCGTTAAAATGTACCTTTTTTTATTTTGTCGAAATTCTCAAGAGGTTTTATTGTGTTGTCGAATAACTAACTGTCTGATTAAAGTATACCCTACATTTCCTCATTTCAGATCTGGGATAAAGTTCTTTCATTTTCTTAAGTTATAATTAATATTTCGAAAAAAAAGAGTACAAATTAAAATATAAGAGTTATAAACAAAGAAAAAAACATTGTTCATAAGTTCAGTTTATTTTTCTTCGAACAAATTAGAACCCCTATTTTTGTTTACGCTTTGTTTGGATACGTCCAATTTCACTAATTGAATTGAATATGGTTAGTGAACTTTTTCTTCGTTTGTTTTGGGTGAACATTAATTAACACCCCATATAACAAAGGCATGATATAATAGGCATAGGTAGGTATAGACACAATGTATGTACATTAGGTAATTAAAAACGTGATCACCTGTATTCGTATTCATACCGAGATTTAAATATAAATAATATTTTCAAATCCTACCTTTGGTGAAAAATCCAATTAGAACTGAAAAATGTAAAAGTATCTTCCATGCCATGTTGTCTTTAAAGCCAATATTACTGTTTTCAACACAATTTTTACCTCATTTTTCGCACCTTTACTATATGTTGTTTGTTAGGATTTATTGTGTCATGTGACGTCGGAATTTACATAAGGTACCTTAAGGGTAATATTGATGACAAATTAACATAGTTAGCATGATTATTAATACAAATTGACATGACAAAGTTTGATGAGTTGATAAATTATATATCGCCAAAGGATAAATAAAATTAAAACATATAAAAAATAAGTATTAGATTTGGGACCTATATAATGTCCAAGATTAGATCTAGAATAATGGGGAATCTTTACATTTAACATACCAGAGGGTTGAACGAAGTTTATAAAAATGCACTTCAAAAATAAGTTTCACTATAACTGGCGTAGCAGTAAACTGAAAAGTAGGGGGCAAGCCTCTAAAAGTGACAAAGCAAAAAAAAAAAAAAACCTTCTATAGTAAGTAAGTGTCCTCTATCATTTTCATCTTTTTTTATAATCAATTAAAAAAAAAAATGACAAAGAGAGTGTAAAAGCATAGTTTTGAACCCCGCACTTTTGAACAAGAAATTTCCCCCTTGCTCCCTGGCTCCTACGTCCCCGAATGCTTCGGAAACTAGTGGTCGGGGGAATACTGAATACTAAGAACAGATGATATTAATATACACCATCTCCATAGGATTTCCTATGATAAGATCTGAAGTGCTTTTCATAGGTCTGAAAAGTTATACTTATCAACTTATAAAAATCCATATTTACATTTTTATAATGAAAATAAACACGATTTTATCTGATTAGCCCCACACTGCTAATAAACGTGGGAAAAAATGTAATTGGTCAGTTTGGTTATATAAACCATGTATAGCCGGGTAAGATTGGGTTCTATCAATATGAAACGAAAAAGGAAAATTTCGCTCCCTCATCTTTTATTTTAGCAGTCCGACAAGATCGAACAACAAACTCCAAACTAAATCCAATGTAACATATATATAAGCACACGCAGTTACGCAGTTAAGGGAGTAAGAGGATTAAAAGATGCCAAATAGAAATAACATATGATGATATGAGCATATAGTGTCCGCTGTCGGTTATGACTGGTATTCCAAAATTATTGTCCAAACTGTCACAGAGTATAAGTAATTATATAAATAGAGTTATTGAAATCCAGTCCTTTGTCCAAGATCATGACAATATGTCCGTGTAAAACAATATGTCTATATTTACAATAAAGTCCAGAATTATATTAATGAAATATATACGCCAAATATGAAAATAATAAAATTAATTTCACAAATCCAAGTCCGGACAGTCCGGTCATTTGAGCATGCATTTGATGTCATAGTGACAACACACGATTCACTTCTGTACTAAAGGGTCCGGCTTTTATTAACCTGTTCATATATCAGTAAGATTAACATTATTTTAAAAAGCTTGAATAAGTTAAATAATTTAGCATTTCAGGGGCCAAATTATAACTCTTATCGGCATAAACTCCCCCATATATATCTGTTGCATTCTTGACCATTTTTCAGTAATAAAGTTTAAAAAAATACCCCTTATTCGATGACTAATAAAACCCATTCGTGTTTTTCTTGATAATCTTACATCAGTTATTGCAATGGTTGTTTTTACAGATTTGTTCCTTTACTGCTATGCACTACGGTAGTGTTTAACGACCTTGACTACCTATGAGGGTCTCGCATGGTCGAGAATGCTATGAATCAGAGTTATAAGGGCTTCATAAGGACACAATACAAAACGCATATTTTTAACAATATCTGCAGATATTAGACTTAATTTGCTCTGTTACCAATCAAGAAAAATATGACGAATGGAACGATTTTTCCTATTGTTAGTTTTCTTTTCTTTGGTGGTGATGTTCTATTGGCTATTATATATGCGCGTGTTTGCAGGAACGGCTCAGATTTCAATGAGTGCAATATTTTGATTAATAATACACTTTTTACAATATGGAAATATATATCATAAATTGGTCAAAATATAACAAATCTAAGAGATTTATTGAGGTAGTATTAATACCACTACATGAATAAAAATGAAATTTGAAATTTCACATTCAGTTTCGGTAATATTATTTATAAAGAATATATCGAATTTATCAATATTAAGCAAATATTTCGTTATGACTTAATAAAAATCTCACAGGAAAGGTGATAATTCTACTATGTAGATTTATACTAAGATCGAGGCTGGCTTAATTTATATTATCTGAAGAGAGTTTTCGACTTTTTCTGTGGTTATCTTTTACATCCTGTGGCTAATTGTATCTAGGCTAGGATGAAATTTGTGTAAAAAATTCAGGATAAACTAGTAAAAAAAAAGGCAGGACCGAAAAGAGTAAAAACTAAAAAGGCAGGACAGAGCTTACAACTAAAAAAAAAAGCAGGACAAAATTTTTCATCCTAGCCCCCCCCCCCCCCATAAAAATCAAATGGTAGCTCCCTAAACAACATAAGAAATAAGAAGGATAAGAGAAAACATAATGGAAATGTTTTCTGATTTGCTAACTCAAAACATATCCCTCGGACTAAGGCTCTGGCAGGCTTATTTGACATAACATTACAACAGATCACATCAACCACAAACACCAAACTTCTACGAAAAAAAACCCATAAAAGTACGGATCCTGATTTCTGAAAGGGGGCGTAATTTCATAAGACGGACTGTATACAGCAGAGTGGATCGAAAATGATATATCAATTGTTGGGGGGGGGGGGGGGGGGGGGTGGGCTACGCCTCCTGGATCCGCCAATGTATAAAGGCGGGGTTAAACTAATGTTACGTACCGTCACAAACCTCCTGTTTGCCTATCTAGACCGTAATTTATCTAGCTCATTTATCAAGGTTAAATCAACTGTCACATTGACAGCAAACCGAGTTTCCTGTATTTTGAATGTGAACATAGTTGAACTAAAGAGGACACTAAGTGCGAATGAAGTTGATGCATTCTAGTAGGCACTTGCAGGTTGTTTGACATAGCACTTCTGTGTGCAGCTGTCTCTACATTGTCCATAAAGACTGTGGAAAAATGAAAATGTTTTCTAATTTGCTAACTCAAAACATATCCTTCAGCCTATGGCACTTGCAGGCTTGTTTGGCATAGCACTTCTGTGCGCATCTACCTCTAAATTGTCCAAAAAGACTGTGGAAAAAATGGAATTGTTTTCTAATTTACTCAAAATCTAGTGCTTTGAAATAATGTATTATTCTGTTTATTGTAGAAGTCTGCAATTGTGTTGCCTTCTTGGTGTCTTGTGGTTATTTGTGTCGTGATTGGCGTATATACCCCGACGTCTCGTTCTCAATTTAATCACATTTGAGAACAAGTTTTCTTTCGTATTGATCGGATTTTATGTAGTTGTAGTTCGATATAGCATATATATGCTAATACATATATGTTAGTAATTTAAATATTGCTGCTGTTTTTAATACATAATAAGTAACTTACTATAGTAATCTACAAAATGGTCCCCTATTTTGATTTTTGTTAGTTTGTTTGTTATGTTGTGTTTTTTTAGGGGGAATGCTCTTCTCTTTTGGGGTTTCAGTTGAATGTTTTTTTTCTTTATAAAAATAAGATAATGTGTTATACAGATATCTTTTAGAGAGCAAATGGTGTAGATAAAAAGCAACTATTTTGTCTGTATTTATTTTTTTCACATGCATTCTCGTCTACAATGAAATGGAATCAGAATACTATTTTCATCAGAAACGTAATTACAACTTCAGAGCATGATAATCCTAGACTCGTCTAACTGATTTCAAGTAACATAGAACATCATCTGTTGTGCTTTTGGCAAGGCAGGATAAATAAAGCAAGACTACAAGGTACTTTATTGAGCCAAATATATGGCGCCCATTGCTTTGCATAGTAATTACGTATAACCAAATAAATTAGCATTTATACATGTATATTTCAGCATATAAGTTAGTTTTTACGGTACTGTTACCTCCATTTAAGATGCTTTTAATGCCATCTTACCTAATACGGACACTAAATTGACTCAGATATGCTAATCCGCGTCGGTTGTAAAATCTATACAGATCTTTGGCTCTAGTAAGATATCCCTTTAGATCACAAAGTCGCGTTTAAAAAATCCCCCAGATTACCATATCCCTTTTAAGCTAATAAATCATTTAAATAAAACGGTTTTGAATATTTTTAAAGTTCACACATCCTTTTAAATGAGACGTCAGGTCGCAAGGTCGCAGGTCGGATTTTACCATTTTGAAGCCACAAAACTATTTATTTTTTGTATTTCACCTTTTGGAACTACAGCTAAACTATTATAGAAAATGTAATCAATTACAAATCTCTGAGATTTTTATATGTCATATAAAAATAAGAAGATGTGGTATGATTGCCAATGAGACAACTCTCCACCAGAGACCCAATGACATATTAGTGAACAACTATAGGTCACCGTACGGCATTCAACAATGAGCAAAACCCATACCACATAGTCAGTTATAAATCGCTCGAAATGACAAATGTTAAACAATACGAACGAGAAAACTAACAATGAACGAAAAACAAATATGATATACAGCAGCAAATGACAACCACTAAATTACAGGCCTATAAGCTATATATTCAAGATCTATATTATATACTTTGGAACTTAATACACTATACTTTGTATTGATTTGCTTCAAATGAATGTCAATTTATGATTTATTTTAGCTAAAAATTTTGTGAAAAAGATGAAAAAATATGGGGAATATGTCCATGGGACACAGATGATGCCCCCGCTTGTATATAACGTTATAAAGGGCCATAACTCAATAACTGTAAAAGAACGCTTCCCAAATTTGTACTTGATCTGAGTTTTGTGGTAATAAGCATTGTTTATAAGTTTCATAACATTTAGTTCAGGTAAACTTAAGTGAGAGAATAGAAATGAAAAATTCAGCAATTTTTTCCATTTATAAAGGGGCATAATTCTAAAACGGTAAAAGTGATGCCACCAAAATTCAATCTTAATCTGTGTTTTGTGGTAATTAGCATTGTGCATAAGTTTCGTAACATTTGGTTGAGGCAAACTAAAGTTAGATCGAGAACGAA